AACTATATAATAACATATCATATTACAAGATTAAAATACTATGTGACGAACTATATCATTTTTAATTTTTATGTTAGAGCATACCAAATCTAATTTGTGGCTAAAATGCTACACCCTTAAAGATAAGGGTTTCTCGGTCACTTTTAAAGTTGAGGGCTTACTCGTAAGAAAAGGGTAAAGCTTAAGGGCTTAAAATATCGTTAGCTAGTCATATTATTAGGTGGCATCAACAACATTTATTTTACTAAGAGGCTGTGGGCTTAGTTGGGAAGAGATTTGATCTTTATTTTATTGATCAAAATTTAATTTTTTAAAAAAATTAATAAAACTGTAATTTTTTACAAATTTTTTAATTTTTGTATAGATAAATTTTTTTTGATCAGATTAAAAAGAGTATAATTTCAAAATATGTATAAATTGACCTGAAACACTTTATTGCTAAAAAAATAAAATTAATAATAGTTCTTTTTTTTTTTTTTTTCCACTCCAGGACACCCCATGCCTTGTGTGCCACGAAAATGGAACTATAACTTGAGCTAAGGGACTCAAAAATAGAGCTCTAAAATGAGCTTCTCTTTCAGCCTCCATACCCCTAAGGCTCTCCCTCCCCTTTCTCCTCCTTGCTGCAGGAAATTTCATCTCTTCATTACATCCAGACAGAAAACAATCCCCAATACCAAGTTTGAGAAGGTAAGTATGCTCCCTCTCCTTTTTCTACAATTCTTTCTTACTGTTTCAACTTCAAAATTTTCTTTGAAAATATCATGAATTTCACACAAACACAGAAGATTGCAAGCATCAGCCACAAGGATAAATGATTGCTTTGATGTTAAAAAGAATAGCTTGGCAATTCAAGTGGGTGCACTTTTGGTCACTTTAAGACATGAATGAATCTTCTTCAGTTTCTAAATCTCGTTAAATCATTTTTGGTTAAATAATTTTTTCCCTCCACTTATCTCAAAAGTTCAAACCTAAGATTTCCAATTTAGAGTTCAAGTTCTTACCAATTGAGACATCCTTGAAACCATCTGGGTTAAATAATCTATATGGAGTTGTGTTGATTTTGCCAGTTTGAGCAGCCAGCATTAAGGGTTACTGGGGTCAATAATGAGCAAGATTTTGTAACAGTTGTAATAGAGTTGGGGATTGTAGCTGTTTGGTATTTCCTTGTCATGCCAGTATGAATTATTCTTCCCATGTTCTTGGAAGAAATGATGATTGTTGGCAAAAGAAGCACTTGTGTCATTGGAAAATGGAATTCTTCTTTGAGACTTACCCTGGAAAGAATATGAAGACACACATGAACTGCAAATACATCTCCAGGAGCTTTCTCCTATACCATCTTATCCTAAGCCAGTTCATGATGATTGGCTGCATTTTAATCCAAACAATATCACACATAAAATTCAGTACTAACAAGTAATTAGTACATTTCTTGAATTCCATTTTCCAGGGTGACTCTCAAAGAGATTCTGCTGCAGAAGCCGAATTGGGTCAAAATTAATTTCTTGAAAAGTTCTTCTAACCTCTTAATTTGATAAATTATATCAATTTAAAATAAAAATTCCTAATATTTACATATTGAAAAATTGCATGAAAATATAAAGGAGGAAATTCAATGATAAACTCATCTATGTTTTCCCTTCCTCTGGCTTTGTGTTGTGCAGGTTACTGCTATGGGCACCATTTCTGAACTTCAGGAAATTCCTTCGGTATCCATCTATGAAGTATCCTTGGGATACACCTAAAAATCCATCCCAAATTAAGAATGCATATTTGAACTATCCCTAGGCTACTCCTGAAGATTACTACTAAGTCTAAGACATTTGTAAACCCATTTGCATAATAATATTTATACATTGTTTATAATCTTCTATTAAGATTTAAGTTTTAACTATGGTTTTTATAAATATTCTGTTTGAATAGTAAATCTTACATAGAAATATTGAATCACGAATTCACATTTAGAAAAAAAAAAAAAAAAA